GTTGATTCTTACACTCGAGAATCTTCTACACCTTTAGAGAATAGGCGGGAGTTTCGCAATACATATTTAACAGTATAAGTTATATATATATTTCTAAATATAACTTTAATTTAAACAAACATCGATATTAAAATAAATATATATCAAGAAATTCGTCACAACTCCGCCCTTTGAGAATTATAATTTTTGTCGTCAGAACTGACCTCACATTACTCGAACTTTCTGGATTTTTATCGTTGCTTCTCGTAGTTTGTAGAAAATTCTAGGTCTCAGTCGGGAAATATATATATTTAGGCGATCAAGTGAATATAAAGTAAAAGTAAAAGAGACGGATATAGACTGGGTGATCGTGAGCCATAAAGTGTGTATGGTGGCGACTTTTAAAGTGTAATAATCGCAAACTGTATTGTAATAACATAGTAGAGAAGAATAATTCGTCTTGTCAGTTGGGTTTTAAAGTAACTGAATCAGCCTGTGTGGACTTTTGATGTAAAAGAGAAATATTTAAAGCTCTGGAATCAACTGTGTAACAAACATCTGTATGTACGTTTGCTTTGTTTTAATACATTATTTTCAAACAAGTGGATTTTATGCTGTTTGTTCATCATTAAAATTTATCACCAACAAGGCACAGACACCTACTTTAAACACTTCAGTCCATATATATATATAAGAAACCTTAGCATTTGGCGAACCATCCAGGATCATACAGTGGTAAATAGCGATAAAAGAAGACGTGAACAGCAATGTAAATAGGCCTATATATGCACAGCTATAGTGGTGGCTAAAACATTGTGGATGTCACAACCACATTGTATAACCATGCTAACTGACTTTGATAAATGGATATAGAGAGGTGAGTGACTCGCACTCAAAGGTGGTGACCGACGAGAGTTTGTTAAATAACAACAAGACCTAGAGAGAGAAGAGTGTCAATATAAGAGAAAATAAGAGAAGCAGAGAAGAGAGGAAGAAAGATAAAGCCTGAAAGAAGAACTTGAGCATGAAATACAAGCCCATAAAGAAGCAAAAGAGGAAAAGGGGAGAAAGGAGAGACTAGAAATAGAGAGAGAGAATAAGAGCACAAATGAAGAAAAAATTAAAAGGAGAGAGAGAAGAGACTGGAAATAGAGAGAATAAGAGCACAAATTGAGATTGCCAAGTTAACCTAACAGAAAGACAAAGGACTCAAGAATGATCAGCCGACCTAAGTTGCTGATGAAGAGAAAGATGGCATGGTTGCTTTCCTGGAGAGATATGAAAGATTCATCCCAAGGGAGAACTGGGACAAAGGCGACTGGGCAGTCTGTCTCAGCTCACTTCTCACAGAAAAAGGCTTACAAGTGTATGCTGGCATGATGTCAGAAGATGCCATAGATTATGACAAGTTCAAAGTGGTCTTGTTGAAATGCTTTGAAGTTACTAAGGAATGTTTTTGCTGGATATTCAGAGTAGTCAAACCTGAGAATGGAGAAACAGTATTTCAGTTTGGGGCACGTCTATGGCAATATTTCACAAGATGGACTGGCATGGTCAAGTGTGGAGATAGTTTTGAAAGATTGGCAGATCTACTAATACGTGAATACTTCATGATGACATGCTCAGCTGACATGCCACTGTTCCTAAAAGAAAGAGCACCAAAAGACGTGGACGAGATTACTAAGCCGGCAGAACAGTATATGGAAGTCCATAGAGGGAGTATAAATGGCAAGTCCAAGAGTAACTAGTTAAAGTCAAAAGCAGTGGTGGCTGACCACAAACAGGATACCACCAAAGGTGACAATAAGTCAACAATCATAAGCGAGAAGAGATGCTATGCTGTTCTAAAATGGAACACATAGCAAGTGAGTTCAAGTCTGTCACCAACAAGCAACAGCAGAAATCTCAACAGAAACCAGCTGGAGCTACCTACAAAGATGGTGCAAGAAAGAAACAAGAAAAGAGCGAGTGTTACCATGGGTGCTGTTGCCAGAAGAAACAGAATGAAGTGCTGTCACCATGATTAAACAGTGCAGGATTGATGGCCAGCTCAAGTTAGCAAATGGGTTAACAGTGTCAGTAGTGACTGAAGCATATGACAAACATCAAGAGGCACTAACAAATCACAACATGCCAGTAGGTGAAGGCGATGTCAGGAATAGGAAAGTGAAAGTACTACGAGACACTTGGTGCGGTAGTGCAGCAGGGAGAATCAGCCTAGTATCTGATGACCAGAGGACAGGCAAGGTACATGTGTGTGTGTGTGCTGATAGATGGTATAGTGAGAACGTTTCTTATAGCAAGAATAAAGGTGGACCCTCCATACTATGTGGGAGGCTATGTGTATGAAAGTACCCATCTATGACTTAGTGATTGGAAATATGGCAGGCAGTAGAAGTTTGGAGAAAGCTGACAGAAAGTAGAGTGATGAAGCATCTGCAGTCACCACTAGAGAAAAGCAAGCAAAACATCAAGTCCTTGCAAGTCTCGAAAGTTGACATCCCAAATCTAGGTTTATGGGAACTGAAGGAAGCACAGAAGAAAGACCCTTCACTGCAGAAACTTTGGGACAGTGCCAGAAAGCAAGTGGAGCACAAAACCAGATGGAAGAGGAATTACAGTATAGAGAATCAAAAGGGAGTGCTGTACCAGATCGATCAAGGCAGTTCTACAGGTGAAATTAAACAGATCATAGTACCAACATAATAATGGGCTCAAGTGATGAAGCTGGCTCACAAGTCGATTGTGGGAGGACACCTAGTAGCAAAGAAAATGGGAGACATAATCACCAACAATTTCTATTGGCTGGGGGTCATCGGAGATGTCACCAGATTCTGCAGGCCATGTGACATCTGCCAAAGGACAATAGCGAAAGGAAAGGTAGCCAAGGTGCTACTGGGTGAAATGCCTCTCATGGAAAGATGTTCAGCAAAGTAGCTCTGGACTTTATCAGACCACTAGCACCAGTATTTGAGAAGGGCAACCACTATGCGCTGACTGTAGTCGACTATGTGTTATGTTATCCAGAAGCTATAGCACTACTAAAGATAGAGATGGAGAGAGTAGTAGAAGCCCTCCTGGAAGTGTTCTGCAAAGTAGGCTTTCTTGAGTGACAGAGGGATCCAGTTTACCTCAGAACTGATGTAAAAGATGTGCAGACTCATCAGCACTAGGCAGCTCTTTACCACCTCATACAACTCCAGATGTTATAGATTTTGTGAGAGAGTCAATGGAGTCTTAAAGAGTATACCGAAGAATATGTGGCAGGAGAAACAACGTGACTGGGACAGATACCTGCAGGCAGTATTATTTGCTTACCGAGAAGTCCCATAAGTGAGTACAGGTTTCACCCTTCGAGTTATTGTATTTGATAATAGTACAAGTTCTGATGCAGATATTGAAAGAACTGTGGACAATAGAAAAATAATCGGAAGTGAGGAACACATACCAGTATTTGTTAGTTTATCAATACCTAAAATTTGTTTTCGAAAAATAAGTAGGTGCATTAGAATCTGAACAACTGGCTTAGAAGTTTAAGAAAACGTTAAGTTTACATTAAATTATATCTAATCTACTTCTTGATGTGTACAGAGGCTGTATCACAATATCTAGAGTAGACCATAAAGAAAATATTATCCAGATCTATCCAATTACCCTTGTTACCTTTCCAGTCCCCAGGTGAGACAGCGGTTGTTTTATAAACTTACAACACTAAACTTCGCGGTTCGATTCCCGTGGTGGACACAGCAGATAGTTTATTGTTACTTTTCTCTCATACAAACCACTTACTTTATAAGTAATGTATCCTATAATGTATCTTACCTTTCCGGAAGTATCTGTTACTCGTACTGGAAGAACCCTGTCATTTACACTAATGTTTCGCTCGTAGCAGAATGAAGTGTAGTGGGAATATTCTGAGAGGTACTTCTTCGTGAGAAAACGAACCACCAAAGCTGCAGAATGTTATAAAATTAAATTAGATAATCAGCTAAGTAACAAATAAATAATTGAATTAACTATACATCCAGAAGTTACGAGGAAATTGTCACTATTTCCTTAGCGACATCAATTAGATGCTATAGCAGACGTACATCAGAGGCTTTAGTTTTTCATTGAAAGAAAAAGACAGAAATACGACCTCATAATTAATATAATATTATCACAGTAAAATAAAAAACAGAAAATTTATTATAAGAGTCAGTAACAGAGGTACCATAGAATTAATTTTTTTTTCAGCTTAACTATCGGAACTAAATACCAACTATCACTTATGCTATAACTTCTAATCTACTCTAATTGTTTTTCTGTCCTAGGACAGGTTCGTGGCTTCGCTCTCCCTCCACAATGTCGAGTGTTGAGATCTTTCCTTGTGTTGTTAAATAACTATCATTGCACCTGGTGTCATCCAGCAATGTATTTCTTCTGCTTCGTGGTGGTTTTCTTTTCATGCATCTTGCTTAAGGTCCAGGATGCAAGTGAAAAACTTTGCTTTATATATAAAATCGAAACTCATATACAACAATGATCACGTATTATTCCAAACCAAGGATATAAGCGTAATAGTTCCTAAGACCAACTCTCTGTTGTTCAAGACAGTAATTACTTGGAAGTAACAAAAACAACAACAATTACTTTTAAAAAGTTGAAGTTTTAAAACGTGCAATACAACTTTTCCAAACAACAATGTCGATCGCAAAATATACTGACCCGTGGCTCATCATGGCCCAACTTACAACCAGAAAAGGTAGCCTTCATACTTGATCCCGTTAAATAGAGAGAACAAAATCCCTGCTAGCCAGTTGTATGTGAGTCAAGGTTTGAATGCTTATCTAGCAACACGTTATTCTGTATATACATTTGCTCACTGTCCTATTTCCTAGATTTGAAAAGCTGTTTTTTCGAAACCTCGCGGGTAAAATCCTGAATGACTAAGAAGATATTGAGAAACAACTTGTGTATTATAATGTGATAGTTCCTCATACTTCTCACATTTTTTCAGAACTGTGTAAAAATTATGATTTCTAAGAAAGGAAAAAAAATGAAATAAAAAAAAAGAAGAACAACAAAAACCATTTAAACATTGTTAATAATATGTATAACCTACTTTATAAAGATAGAAATAATATTCTACACAGGAATACCAAGTTAACTTCTGACATTTATTAAAGTTAGATATTTGTTATATGATCTTTGTGGAACCTATACTTCCCTGCTTTTCTATATATATATATATAAAGCACAAAAATCTGCTTGTCTGTCTGTTTGTCACTTATCTAACTACTCCTAGGTAACTGGTCCAATCTCAACCAAACTTTGTGGGATAATAATCTGCAACAAGGATCATGTTTATGTGGGTTCACAACCCCATTCACCACATTATTGCTGTTATTGAGCGTTTATTGTCTTTAACGCTAGTTAACGTTAACTACATTCATATATAGCGCTACATTCTTACATCAAACTAAAAAAAAAAGAAATTTTCCGTCCCTCCCCCAGTGGGACAGCGGTTAATCTTTGGATTTACAATGCTAAAATCAGGGACTCAATTACCCTCGGTGAACACAGCAGATAGCTTGATGTAGCTTTACTATAAGAAAACACATACGCACATTAAATGTTTTATAACACAACATACACACAGTGTGGGGGAGGGCACACAAACGTCTTATATATCCCAGAGTGCATTCCAAAAAATGGCTGCCACTATTACAATACTACATAAACTCAGATGAAGTTGATAACAGCCACCGTAACGCTTATATGAAGAGCCGTTTCTTTAGTTATATCCACTTCCTACTTTGACCCGTGACCTTACAACTTCATCCCATAAGTTACTTCTGCGGCCAACGATCATAAATTAATTAATGACGTGAAACAGTATGGAAGGATATTAAGAGGTGGGTGTTAAAAGCTGGTAACAGAAAGCAATTCTACCGCCACTACTTTGGCCGCTACCCCCTTCGCACAACGTCACCTTGACCATCACACAGTGCATACCATATTTTAAGTAGAAAAATCAGTTAAAAATCGCTGTAATACGAAAAAAATCGGAAAAAGTTATACTACGAAAAATGGCTAATGCGAAAGAAATGTTTTAATATTCACAACGTTTCGGGCTGGGACACCCTTCCTCTGGTGACTTTGGTGTTTTGTTTTTGCTTTCCATATTTTATGTATATAAGAAATACATAGTGACTTTTTAAAGATTATACAAAACTTTTGGTTAGGTAATAACGAATACTGTAATAATATGTTGTGTTATGAATAAAGTGTGTGAACATTAGGATTTTTACGGTATTTATCATAGCATTCACCCACCACATTTTTATAAATTCATAGTCCGGACAAAGTTCGGGTACCTCAGTTTGGCCTTTATGTTTCACGTTATCAACCCTCAACAACATTAAATGTTGTGCTTTGTATGTACAAATATAAATAACGTTGAACATTTAGCATTTATAAATAACATATGTGTAACATCACAGTAGAGCTAATAACAATACAAATCACATCATTCTTTACTGATCCAACATGAGTTTCCAGGAAAAAAAGTGTGCATTCCAACATTTCGTTAATAACTTATACGAATGAGGATTTTTCGCCCAACATCACAGTTAGACTTGTAAGTTGGATTGTAACACACAAATAGTGTTAGTTGAAACAATACTTAAATCTCATGTGTACGAGACAACAAGTCTTATGGTGCAAGACGTAAGACATTTAATAGTAATATGTACTATATTACAGTAAAACTGGTAATAACGTGACTCTTTACTAGCTCAATATCTTGAACATTGCTTATAATAGAGGAAATAACGTTACAGAGCAATAGAGTCACAGGCAGGAAACCTTTGTGTGATTACAAAAAAATCCAAAACTACTGAAATTACAATCACAATAATGACAGTCTTATCGAGTCATAAAAAACACCCTGAATTATAGTATACATATTTTGTGATGCTTCAATAATGAATCTTCTGTAATCCGGTAAGACTAACCTAATAAAGTTTATAAAATAGCCAAAAGGATGTTTCAACTGCATTAAAATACAAAAAAATTAGTAGACTTCATTCTAAATGTATACGTACACAAAAAATACATTATTGTTATACAACGCTTCATACTCCTACATTTCATATATATGACTAAGGCAGGGCGTGGCTAAGTGGTTAATGCACTGCACTAAGAATCATTATGACCAAGGTTCGAACCGTAATATGACACTGAACACAATCCACACTTTCAGATTTTGGGCGCTACCACTATGACGATCACTCCTGCTATTTGATTAAAACTCTAAAACCCGGGTTTTGATACCCGTGGTGGGCATTGCACAAATAGTCAGCTATGTAACTTTGTTCTTAACCATAAAGAAAGAAAGAAAAAAACATTTAAACAACGTTTTTTTCTTATTTTTCTTATTCTGGGTCAATGGGGCTAAAATGAAAACAAAACAAATGAACACACATATATTCAAAATAAATAGTTGTACATTATTATTAAAAAAATACAAAACGTGGATTATGTATATTTATAATCAGAAGTTACATAGTTTGTCAAAGTTTAATTAGATTTTATTCACGCAATATTGTGACGTCAAAGATGGCTTAACATTGCTCACGTTATAATACTAAACATAGAACAGAGTACGATATCGAAGTGAGACCATGTAGGAATATGTTTATTTTTTTTAGCATTTCGCGTACATATCTAACTAAAAAGGAATATAAGCTTTCATCCTAACAGCATTCAAGCATTTCAATTTAAACCAATCAGGGTATTTGGTGAAAATAATGACAGACATTTATTATTTATCAAGATCAAAGTACATCCTATAATAAGGAAGAATCCTGAATATATGGTGACGTAGTCTTTTTTTTTTTGCGCACTGGAAGGTTGCAAACAGTTACAAGTCTGAGGAAAAATAACTAATAAATAGCTCTAAATTTTACATTAATAAATATTTTCTCATTCATCGTAAACAACAGATAAAATTAAAAGTCAAGAGTTGTTTTCCTTTAGGTTTTCTGTTTTTGCACTCTCTAACACCCGTTCACTCAGCCCAGAAAATATCGATGGTACAGCGTCTGAATTTACTTTTATTCTAGCACCATCGTATCCTCAATTTCTGCCATTTTTATCGTATCTAGTCAAAACATGTCTCTTCAAATGTGTACAGCTATGTTTCGTTGAACTTGATAGCGAAGAGTCTGTTATCTTCATGTTATCTAAGCTTTTATTGTTGCCAGGGAGGAAAACTTAAGCCTGGTTGTGTGCCAGTTCTCTCATTACAATCAAACGCTACACAGCTAGCCATTTTCGAAATAGAAAATTTTGATCGATATAACAAATTAGAAAGCAGATCGACAATAAAAAAATAACCATATACCATACAGTGAACCAGTTATAATGCTTTGTGGTGTCTGACGCTTCTGACGTCATACATTCTGAGCTTATAAATATACGCAGCCATTTTCCATATTCGGCATATTTGAATGTGTATGTGTGTAAAAATACTGCGTTGTATATTGCTAGAAAAACTTTGTACATGAAGTTAATTATATATTTTTTCAACGATGTATTAACTAGAATAAGCATCAACATAAGTTTTGGATATAATTTAAGAAAATTGAAAAAGTTGTATAAATATCCTTCAAAACTAGCTTTATAGATGGCGGTTGCTTCTTACTGGTAGCAATTCCTCTTGTCAGAAGTTCTAAATTAGAGATGACTATACTTCAGCCTCAAGGTCCTTCCCTTGGTCATTTAGAATAAAGAGTTGTTCAGCAATGAATCTGAGGACTTATAATGCGGTGGGCTCAGCACAGATAGCCCATTGCGTAGCTTTGTAACTGTATATTTATAACTACACATGAACATCTAAAAATCGTCGTTCCCGCAAGATTCTCTAATAAAGTTTGTTTTGCGTGGGCGTGTTTCATAATAAAAAAGACGTATCTCGTGAAACAATAATATTACTATTGTACAAAGTGTTGGTAACAAATTTAGTAGTAACTAGAAGAGAAGAAATGCTTCTGAAAATGTATATAAACAACTGGTTTCAACAGAACCATAATTAACTTAGTAAGTAACAACTAAAACTCTCGCTGAAAACACAATCTATTTTTTCTTTATTGTTTGAAATCTACCAAATTTATTTTGTTACGATAGAACTATTCCACAGTTCAATAGTTCCCAAAATATTCTTTAGGATTATACGGCAGAATGAGAATTTTAGAGAGGGATTCGGGACTGGGAATAGGTTGGGTATCCCTATTCAAGCCCCCAGCCCAGTAATGATAAACAAAACGTTTTCGTAAACGTTATGTTGATGCCACTTTGTTATATTCTTCGTTGAAAAAATGCAAAAAAAAAAACATGCCCATCATTTTCACGAATTCCAATTTAGAACATTTATGTTAATGCAAAATTATCGGATTGTTTTTAAGAATTTTAGCGCGAAGCTACACAATGACCATCTACGCATAGCACTCTGCTACCCCTGTTTAACTCAAGAATGGGATTTGACTATTACTTTTATTGCACATTCTCGGACTCGAATTGCGAGCGCGTTTTGGCGGCAAACGGTTGGGAACATTGAACCTTCGGCTTCACAATCTGAGGATGCTAAACATTAGGCTAAACCAGGATCTGTAAATTTAAATAAAATCACTTGCATCCGTTCAAGGCGTGTTTAATACTTGACACTCGACGATTTATTATATCTGTGTACCAAAGGAAGACTTTCACAGGACTCCACACACAGTGTGATAACTGTTTTTGCTCCTAATGTAGAAATATTCATAAGAAAGTATTTATAAAATGCATTGATTAGTCGAATTCTTACCCTAGAGGAGTGAACTGTGAAAGCGAAATGAATATTGGATAAATGTTATTCACAAAGTAACCATGATATTCCTAAGTAAGAAATCTGGCAACATAAAAATTTCCGTCATTAGTCAACTGACTTACTATTTTGATTTTGCTTTTCCGAGAACAAAAGACTTTTAAATTCCAATCAGCTTAAAATGTCGAAATGCCTACTTTTCAAAATGCTTGGATCTATTAACCATTTTTGAGATTAAACTACCTGTAAGTTCACCTGTATCTGTAATGTTATATTTTGATCGTGTCTGCAAGTATCTGAGAGCGTTCTTTAAGAAAGGAAATATTGTTTCAATTCCTATATTTTTTTGCAGTTACATAGGAAACTTTGAATATGACATCTGTTAGTCGTATTTCACAATTCTAACTAGTTATAATAAAACTAACTTTATAATTCTAATGAAGTAAAGTTTTTTAGTAAAACGTTACTGCTTCTGTTTAAAAGTCAAGTTCAAAGTTTAATAAATGTTGAATGGAATATATATTTTTTTAAATTGCCCACCTACTTTTTCTCTTTACTTGATATATTATTTGTTTAATTTTAATACGCATTTTTCTTGATTTTTCCATACAATTTTCCGTCCATATGCTTTTGTCAACAATAAAGTACAATAAACCTAGTATTTTCCATACAGTTTTCCGTCCATATGCTTTTGTCAACAATAAAGTACAATAAACCTAGTATTTTTTCTATTATAGATGCTTTTTTACACATTCAATTTAATTTGTTCATTACAGATTTTAAGTCGAAAGTGTGTAAACAAAGCATTTCAGATGTATCTTTTCTTTGTTATAAGTTACTATAACACTCCTAACACGATAATGAGCGAAAACGGTATAAATGTCGCAAGGATTTAATAATTGAGTTTAAATATTATGGTATTCTGATAAGTGTCTCAATAGTGAATCACGTTCTTAATGATTGTACTGGTTCTTTTTCTGTTTGTAACATTATGGCCCACCAGTGGCACAGCGGTATGTCTGCGGTCTTACAACGCTAGAAACCAGGTTTCGATACCCGTGGTGGGCAGAGCACAGATAGCCCATGGTGTAGCTTTGTACTTAACTTGAAATCAACCAAACCAAAAACCTAATTTTTTTTCTACCTATTACAGCAGAGTCTTCCGCGAAAACTCCAAATAATCCACTACTTCATCAAGTTACAACGTTTAGTAGGCCAGTACCAAAACAGTACCCAGTCAAGAAACAAAAGATTATAATGGAAAGAAACCACAGGAGGCATTTAAAGCATAGTTGGAAATAATTTCCATAGTAAATGGAAGGAGTAGTGAACACAAGCCATTCATCTTGCTGCACACTTAAAAGAATTGGCTTTAGCAGCATCAAGCAACATTCCAACAGAGATACATACCAAATATCAAGAATTAGCAGCTGCTTTATCAAACAGGTTTAGAATGTTACATCAAAAGAAAGTTTCTAATGCAAAGCCTTGCAGGTGCTTTGTATTCGGTGTCTGTTAATATACTAGCACTATATTATACAACAAAGTACTAAACACTGTTGTTGAAGTAAATCTTGTCAAACATCGTGGTAATGAAATAAGCAGAAACAACGTTTAAAATATTTTAAATAAAATAGCAAAGAGAAAGAATGACGTGTAAAAATCGTTATTAAAAATTCTTTGTAGTTTTTCAGAACTTGTGGTGTACGCTAGAGGGATGGGGACATTTTGGAAATGAAGTAAAAAAAACGGCCTTTACTCTTCAGATATGGATAGTCATAAAATGCAAAAATAAAAAGTTATTTAATTATTAACTAGAGAATAAAGATCGTTCTATTTTTAAACTTTATATATGTGTGTGTATAATTGGTAGAAATAGGCTGAAGTAACTGTAACGAGAGCATCATGCTTTGCCCTCTGATAACTCTTCGGTAAGCTTTAGGACTAATAGCGGTAAAATTCGGAGTTCGATCTCAATGATGAGCATAGTACAGATAGACCATTTTACGGATGAGTGCTCAACAATAAAATGGCAAACAAGTATCATGATTTCATAGCATACGGAGTATATACATATATATATATATCTACACACACATTTGCTAAACTTCATCGTTGATCTTTGGGTATTACGACCCGCTGCATTCTTTGTCAACTTTAATGTCTCGGAATCTCCGTGTATTCAGTAAAACTCTTTATTGCACAATGTTCGTTCACTGTCTTGTGCTTCCTGAACTGTTTTTAGTTAGTCCAGAACAAATGTAATAAATTTAGAGCATTAAATTTATGCAAAAATTACTTTATTTGATGGCACTGCTCTTACATTTACCCTACAGTAGAAAAGTGTAAAAATATAGGACAAACAATGTTATTAAACTCTACCTGTAATGAAATATTTCGCTGATACAAGATATTGTAACAAGAAAAGCCCATTGTTCGTATGTAACAGAAATAACTCAATTACAAACTTGACTGAATTGTCTGATTATTAGGAAAACCTTCACGCCACTTCGAAATCTAATTGGTATTGTGAAAATACCACAAAGAAATTATCGATAATATCTCATGACCACACAGAGAAAAACAAATACGCTGCAACACGTTAATTATTTCTAGACATTTACTCATTAGCCCTAAAGCAGTGAAGAATTATGTCTGTCTGAACATGTAGAAAAATTTGGACAGATTCTTAAAAATTTTCCCCAGTGAATCAGCAGCCAGTTTACCGGTTTGCAACGCTAAAATCAGGGGTTCGATTCCCCCTCAGTAGACAGAGTGCAAACAGCCCATTGTGTAGCTTTACACTATGAAAACAACAACAGCAACAACTCTTAAGAACCATCTGATTTGCCCAGCATGTAAATCCATTGTTGATAACCGAAGAATAATTTGTATTCAGTGCGACTGCGACTTACAAACGTAGGGTAAAAAGGTGCAACATACATTTGCAAGGAAAGTCACGTTAGAGAAATTATTTAATAGTATCGATTACCTGAAGTCCCTATGATTAAGATAATGTTCTGCATCAGTGCAGTCTATAAGTAAATGTATTTATCACATTCTGATAACATCTTCATCATTGAAACACAGAGAGAAAGTTTTCTGAACGGAAGTTTGAGGAGTCCCCATGTATTAGAAATATTAATTCGATAATTAACCAGAAAAGATAAACCGATCCTTGTAAATTTAGTTGTCTCCTGGTCGGATTCTAGTTTGGTATCTTTCTGTTGGCGTCAAATGTATTTCAAACAGTTTATTCATTTGTTTCAAAAGTTTCGCGCAAGCAATACACAGAGTTATGTACACATAGCCTTTCACTCTTAGATTTGAACATTTTCCTTATTGCCGCGAAAAAGAAGTTGATTCTGATCCTATGAGGTGTTTACAGACATTGTTACTTTGTGGAAAAATCATTTATACCATACAAATGTCTTCTTTCATCCTCCAAAAATGTTTTAATGGATCTTAGTTTTGGCCTCAGGCTTATATCCGACACAACTGAATGGAAAAACAAAAAATTGAAAAATCGCTTGTGTAAGTCTGTGAGTTTGAGAGTTCATGTTTGGTGGGTTGATTCCCAAACATAGTATTCCGC